GAGTAAGTCACAAAAAGCAATTCATTTTTTTAATTCGTGACTGTTGAGAAATATGTTATTGAAAATAGCAAAAACATTTAACCACATAGACAAAAACATGACAACTGTATCTTTGACAAATCACTGCCAGTGTCTTTTTTGTCCAAACGAGGAAATTCTATTCCTGCCAATTAGAGAGTAATAAAAATTAGCATAATTTTATCATATAGCTTTAGGTTACCATTTTATTATCTTAGCATGCTTGATTTATGATTTTTGTCGTGTTTCATTACAATCGTCTAGCATATATTTTTAGTTTGCGATGGAAAGTAGCTTTTTCAAGATACCTTATTCTTTAGTTGCACAGATTAGGTTTGGTTCTTTTAATTTGTTCAGGAGAGCCTCTGTTTGAGCATTTATGTGAAGATATCGTTGTAATGATTTTCAAAAACAAATAGTGAATCCGGAAAAAACTATATGAAACTATATCAAATTTTATTCGTAGCTTGAATAGCGTTTGACAGATTGGTGTAGACCGTGTAAAATATAGGACTGCATCAGTACCATCGACTACAGATTGGATAATGAGATGTGACTAGAAATTTTTATTTAGGAACTACTTTACTCAGCAACAGGATGCTTCCGGTGTCAAATATGGTTCGTTAATCACATGCTTGTGATTTATAGTTTCTATTCGCTTTAATACTTTCTTTTTGAACATATTTTACTGTATATAGTTATGATATATTTTATTCTTTCAAATGGTTTCAAAATACGTATTCGCCTTTTTTTCTTTTTGTGAAGCAGAGATACAGGTGATGTTTTCTAAACTCCGTTTAAATCTACGATATCCTCGTGTTTTATCTATCGTGACATTACTTCAATATCTTGAATATTGCGTAATAAAAATATAATTTGTCAAAAAATTCATGCAGTAGTTGTTCATCTCGCTGCGTTTCTTTGAGTAAGACATAAACTCTCGAAAAATGCTGGAAAGGTCGTATGTATGATATGCATACGAAAAAACGAGCCATAACTCCAAATTAATCGAGGCATATAGACAGCAGGTAGCGTTGCAAACCTGAACTTTGCATAAAAGGAGTGGCACCGCGCACAAAACTCCGAGGCGATGAATTATGAATTGAACGAAAGTTCTCCGTTTGGACCAGTTTATTAACAGAACGGTTTCGATTACTTCCGCATGCCGTCCCACAGATTTATGGTCACATGTTTGGTGTAAACCGGAGCCAGTGGACAAATATAGAATGACGGGGGAAGATGGAAGTCTGCTGATACATGAAAATGCTGACAAGTGTCACTGTTGATAAAATTACAAAGAGATTTCCGGAAATAGAAGTGGTATATATACATGTATATATGTCCCGTCTTTTGAGAAACAGAATGCACAGAATACACTCAACTTATACCAGAAAAGAACCCAAATCCTGACCACTCTCAATTCAATTTCTCCCATGCCTATCATTTAATTTCAAAAATCTCCACATATTAACTGTTGCAGCACAAAACCTCAATTGTAGTTGCACTAAACCGGTCCTAGGTTACGCGTTAAGTTATTAGGCAACTTGTGTGAGACATAAGCAAATTGGGTAAGTAGTCATTTATATATGGTTAAATAAAATTCGTCCTTAACTATGTATGTTAAAAGCAAACTCGTTACACACAGGCAAAGTGTAATAAAAGCCCTTTATTGCGATAAAAAACTGAAAAAAAAAGATACGATGATCAAATCACTTAAAGGTTTAATAGGTTATCAAGTATCAGTTCTCTGCTCTTCCTCTTCATCTTCCACCATGTCTTCATCCATTTGGCCTTCGTCTTCGTCATTCTTAGCATCTTCTTTACTTGGTGCCCACCACAATATACATCCTAATCCGGTTTCCGCCATCGACCCGATAATTTGATATGATTTTTCTCGTTTCAGTTCATCTTGGCTACTGTCAGGATCTACGTCCCTACAATATCAAAATTATTATTTCCTGAACTTTCATCTTTCCCGTATGGTGGCTTATGTACAGTTTTTTCTCTCTAGAATATTATGCATTACAGTTTTTTCTCTTTTTTTGATTCTTTACTCTACGAGTTCATTGATTGAATAATGCCAGTCTGCATTATGATATCACAGCATGACCATTGATGCTTTACGTGCTTTAGACTGATAATTATCGTTTGTTTTCCTCAACCATCAAATATTTATAAATTAGCTTGACCTCAAACTCTAAAACTTATTGCTTTAAGCGTAAACATATTGTGTAACAATAAAAAGAATTACTTGAAAATGTTCTCAATAACTCGAAAGCGGACAGTTTTACCAGGATCCATATATAGTTTAGCAGACTGTCCGTCTTCAGATTGATATTCCCAGTACCAAATCTGTAATTACAGGATTCTTTTCGTTTCACTAAAAAAACTTTTAAAAAAAAGTCATAGTTTGAGCGTAAGCACAATTGCATGTAGAAATCAAGAAAATCACACTTTGGCTAAAGAAAGACACTAATTTACCAATCAGTACTTTTCCATTTATCATATTGCTTATTGACAAATTCAATTCCAACCTGCTCTTCTTCTTCGAAAACTGAAGGTTGTGGTAATCGATGCGCTGGTATAAATATATCCTCAAAAAATATGACAGACAACATCAATCCTTCGGTGTTACTTGATAAAACTTTTGCTTCAATAACTTCATCGATAAAAGGCCGAAATACAACAGAACGAAACTGAAACTATCCCAAATTCACGATCTATCTTGGCTCCGAACAAGTCAAACATTTACTATTTATTGAAAATTTTAACTTATGGAATTTCACTTCTTCAGTAGCGCCTTAACCGGCTACCACCTCGTCTTCTTATGTTTAAAAAATAAACGCAAAATTGCCCACCAACTATTAGGGATTGATTTAAAAAGGAAAGAATTTCTTAGAAACTATCCACTGACATAGTCAAATGAAAAATAGAATCCTTTTTAGATACGGTACTGTCCCTTTTTAGCAATGTTAACACATCTGAAAAACTGTCGGAAAAATGTAAAAATTGAAAAATTTTTTTTATTTCATAAATTCAATACCAAATGATGCAATTAAAGTTTAGCTTACCTTCACTTTTGTATGCGTACTGCCATCACCAGGTAATATATACGAGACACCAACATCAACGAGATCATAGATTATAATACATAGACCTAAACCTGGTACGATTTTATTGGCAAATTGCTCGTCTAGACGTTTCATTAACATCTGAAAAATTAAAAATTCTCTATTAAAATATATCTTGCTAACTGTATACTAGATGCATCCGCTCAGACCACTTCGCTTTTTTTAAATTCCGCTTCATTCGATTATGTTACAACGTTAGGTACGATAATAAATGCAAATGGATTAAGAGTAATACTGATATAATGAAAAGACAAATAATGTCAATCGACTAAATCGCTTTCAGCGAATCCATCCAAATTCAATTGTTACATCAAATCTGTCGTAACCTTTAAGAAAATACATATCTTCTACTAAAAGCGCTATCGCTTCCATACTATGCATGCGTCGAATTTAAAGGAGCTTTTTAGTATTTTTTGCGCGAATTCTTCTAGTGATATTTAAAGTAAAAAATTTAAAAAGGAAATAAGTTATTCAAGGATTCCAAATTCATGCTATCATATCGCTATCTGATTGCGAAAAAGCTTACCGGTTCAAAAGGTTCGCCGAATTGATGAGGTTTAATTTGTACGGTATCCTCCAACAGTGCTAACACGAACATAATTCCACACTAATCCTATTGCACAATAATTGTTGAAATTTTTGTATATGAATACGCTTACTGGGAGGATAAACGTTCGAATCTGTAAAAGATGAAACTACAAATAGTCAATTTGCTTCATGTATCAATAACGCATTTATTTATCTTTGACGACAAGTGAAACAGCAATTCATATTTGTTAGGATAATGTATAATGCCTGGAACATGCACACAATCAAGAGGATTTTATTGCAGCCACTAGTTATAAACTGTTTAATTACGCACGTTCCAATCAGCATTTATCACAAACTGGGAGAAGAAAATTGCATACAAAGGATAGTATTTCGGAAAAATGAAATTGGAGAATATATCACTAAGAATCTATTGTTCGAGTAATTTATTCATATATACGAAAGGACTCCTGTTTGGAATTGCTAGAAAATAAAATATGAAAACATACAGTAAGTAAACAACTGTCCTTTTAAAGAAGTTCTACAACTACTACGACAAATGAAGTGCAACTAGTATGAAATATTTCAATCTAAACCAGAATGTGATATTACAAAGATGAAATTTGGAAAATTTGTTTAATGGGAAATCAGGAAACAATACAATGTACACACATAATTAAAATCAAATCTGCACTTTCACTTTGGCAACAATCAAATCAACATCACCTATTACATCGTCTTTTCGCACCTCAACCTTTCTCAAGACTACATCTTTTCAGAAAACTCATGTGTTCCACAAAAAAAGATGCATTTAAAAGAAGGAAAAAAATCTCTTACATTAGAAATTTGAAAAATCTTCATGAAATATGATCTTTGTTCCTTGAAATGCTTTGATGCTAATAAGCAATCTGACGATTACTCATTGGTTGTGAAGAGACTATAACTGATTTCAAATCAATGTCTGCTTAGCTCCAATATTTCATAGATGAAGCTGGAAAATTAAAGAACCAAAGCTATTGATGGGAACATAACAATTTGTGACTCCTTACTATCACCTCTTGTTTAGAAACGAAATATGTTTCTTCGCAGAAGCAAAGCACATCAGGCTTAGATATTTATCATTTTTCAGAGTGTTTGTTTCCAGCAATCGTTACTTGAACTGGCAAGAAAAATCATCAGCTAGAGGAAAGAGGTCATATACAAGTAATTCTTCCATGAATCAATTAAATGAAATTTGACGTAACACAAATAAATAGTAGAAGTGAAACAGCGCGAGCAGTACTGTAATAAAACCATAAGTCCAAATATTAATAAAGTGAAAAGCTACAATTTCAACTGTTCTGCAAACAGCTCTTCCATCGAAATGACCTGAAAAAAGAAATACGTCATTTTTACGCTAAAAAAACATCATCAACCCCTTCTACTGTTTCCAAAATCTTACCTCCCACTCCTCATCTGGATTAACCTTTTGCTAAATTGCGTGCATGATTGCTTTGACAGGAGAATCAATTTATTTCAAAATAAACAAAAATGCTAACGTTCACCGAGCAAAATGACCTTTAATTTAGTTCACCAACCACGAAATCAATCAGAAAATGTTAAGAAATATCAAAAATTCTCTTAACCTTGTTCGATATAAATAATCGTGCGCGTCGGTTCGATTGCTTTCGATCGTTCACCTCTTCTCCGCTATCATTGTAAACCTGCATTAGATTCATCCAACAATAATTGAATTTTTGAAATGAATTTGAAAAAAGAATTATGCATTAGAAAGACTAAAAATTTACATTGTAATAGCGCTCGATAAAAGCAGAGCAAAACAAATTTAATTTAAATCCTCTTATTAAAAATACAAATAACCGTGAAAGCAGCATGACGTATTTTACTTCTTTTCGGTATACCATCAATTCGTGCATCCTTCCATTTCGTAGGGTCCCAACTGTTTTGCACAAAAGCCACATGAGCTAAGTCATCTCCGAAACTTTTTGGTATCAACAAATTCTCATCATCGGACGCTTCTTCACCCTGCAATGCTTTCTTCCTTTTCCCTATCTATAATTCATAATGCTTATAAACAAGAAATTTCCAAAAGTCGTATCAAGAATCCTAATAAATTAAACTACAATTAATTATCTAGTAGCTGATAAAGAAAAGACTCATGTAGATGCTATATAATATAATTTTCACTGAATGTATAAAATATGGCACAATGCATGCTACGAAAAACTGGAAACCTTATGCCTCATTTCATCACAATAAAAAAATGAAATTATTGTCAAACATGGAAAAGTGCAGAAAATGAAATTCTCTCTGTAAGGCCTAAATTCTCCTAAATTTTCTAAATTTTTCTTTTTGCCTTACAGAAACTCTGTAAGGCCTAAATTTCCAACAGACAAAAGTTTCTAATAGTGCTTTACAGTGTGTTTTGTAAACACAGACTGGTACAAGAACATTAAAATGTTTTCTCCAGAAATAAACTTTTCATTTTACTTTTTTACCTGATAGATTTGAAAAGCATTCTCTGTTCTTGATCCTTTCAAACGAGATGACCGAATACCGGGATGCAAACTACCTGGTCTTTCAGATGCATTTCGAAATACTGGAGCTTCATGGTTCGGTCCCAAACCTGAAAATTAGCAACCAAAATGACGCATTTGAAATTTAAAGTGATGTTTATTACGTTTATTAAATAATACATTTACCAGTTAGCTGGCCAAGTGCTAATCGTTGCATACTGAGTTCAGTTTCATCAATTAAATCATTTTCACTATCACTGAAGTTTTGAAATGCACGAATTTGCCGCATTTCCAAGCCATCTGATGCTTCATTTAATAACCGCAATGGTTCAGCACAATGCTCCCGACCACGTTTGAGAACCATTCGTGCCCCACTTATATCATGCGAATTTTCACGGATCTAGAAACGCCACATAAATGAATTCCATAGCAGTGATTGCTAACAACTCTACAAGAATGATGAAAGACCAAAAGCAAACTATCATTGCGTATTACACATCGCGTACATTTTCAACTGCAAAGCAATTTCGCATAATTTACTGAGAAAATTTTATAAAGAATGAATTCAGTAAACTGAGCAAAACCCTTCAATGCTGCTCAGCTTATTGAATTCATTCTTTCCATCAGGATGGGAGACTTTACTGGAAAATCACCCTTACTTAAATACTTACTTCAGCCCACCTAACGTAAAATTTGGCCAAATGACGACAACATCCGGAAAGATAAGCACGTTCAAAGAATGCATCCGCATTCGCATCAGATTTGTTTTCGATTAATTTTATCCAAAATTTTAGCATCCTTTCATCGTTTAAAAACTCTTCACGATGACCAAAAGTATTGATGATACGCGTTAGTATCGAAAAAAGATGCGATTGCTTCCCTATAAAATTAGCAAATTCAAATTAGACACTACTTCGGAATGACAACCTTGTAGTACCAATCATTGATATCTTTACAATGCGCTAAATACTACACTTGTCGGATTTTTCGAAAGAGATTCAAGACATTGAAGGTTTAATTATTTTCTTTCATTTACACATGTGACTTCTTTCTCGTAATGATTACTGCAGTAACTGATCTTATTTACTAAAGATACACGGTTTGTCCGAAAACAAATCAAGGTGATATACTGAAAGAAACTCAAATTTGATGATTAGAATGCTTTAAATATATAATTTTCAGCCCTAATACTTATAAAATTTGTATTTTATGATTGAACAAAATGTTAGATGAGTTGTACAACCTGTTGGAAAGTGTTCCTCGAACCAGTTTATATAACGTAAACATATATCCAGTGGGTTATCGGATGCCTTTGCTTGTTCGAAATCGTTTTCGAAGCGTTTTTCTGCTTCGTTTATTGTGATTTTGGCACCTGGTAATCAATCTTACTGTTTAATAAATTTACTTATAGTATATTTTTGAGACTGATATTGATGTTAATAATAGCACTATAACATCTTCACATCTATAAATGTATTAACTTTGCCATACTTAACATCACACAAAATATGTTGTTCTTATCTAACTTAGGCAGACTAATTTGCTTTTTACAATATATATGTGGCATCTTCTTATATAATGACAGACACGAGGATGCGTAAATTAAAGGTAACCGCAACGTAAGCAAGGACATATGCATCCCATATCTTATCATTTATAAATGTATCTTGCTAAAAGACTGTACTATTTATAAATATAATTCAAACTCCACCATTTATAAACGAAACTTACCACCAAATACACTATTTAAGAATTTGACCCTTCGGCCACTTCTCAGCGGTCGAATATTTTCGCGACTTAATTCCCACTCATGTTGCGCTGCATCAGTCATGATTCACTTCTGTATTGAGCGAATCACAAAAAAAATAAAATTAATAAAATAAAATTAAAATGATATAAAACTAATAATAAATAATAAACCTTACAATAAAACTAACAATTCCATATACACAATCCCAATATTATAGGCAATGAAACACTACTTACTACTCAATCAACAAATATTGATATAACACCACAAAAAAAGCTGATTTGAGTTTACTTTCAAATAACTTAGAAGTATAAGTGATGTGATACATAAAGGTCAATAATAAACAAAGAGACGAAGCAAAATTAAGCTATTTATTTCTCTACATTTTATCAAGTCAACAATGTACATCGATTCCAATCAATGAGTTCCATCATTGAAATTCATTAATAGTCGTAGATCAATTTATAGCAACAATTACATTACGCTGATAGTTTGGAACCAACAATTATACAACATAACATGAATTAACGGATTTATAAAATACGAATTTGAACGAATAATCGAGACGAGAAATAGTCAAATGAACAGGAAAAAACAGTAAAATTATACCATTTACAAATTGAAAACCCAAACTATGTTGGAATATAATTCAAATTTCTTAAGATTTTTGAAAATATAACATAAAATCGGATATACCTTTGATTTAAAATTTTGTTACATAATTTCACATGTAAATATTTAATAAGTTTCGTTTCAATAAAAATTCATTCCACGCAGCAATATCTTTCTAATAAATTTCTCGCAACGTAATGGTTTCCGCTCGCCAAATAGATTAACGCTAAATTATGTGCAGCCATGGGTCGAAGATTATACCTGAATTAAAATGAATGATATAATTATAAAGAAATAGTTGCATTCGATCTCACTGGCCGTTGGATTTATGTAGAAAACAGAAACGGTACATGCAAAAATAATTATATATCAGACGTTTTTATTCCGGTTGTGAGATGTGCTTCTAACAAGAAGGATTCAAATATAGTGTGGAGAGCAAGAAAGACTGCACATTTTTAAAAAGACCTAACCTAAAACAAATGAAAAATAAAATTTACTCTTCAGCTTCCACCGTACACTCTTTGCCTGTAATTTCATCAGTAACCACAAGTTTCGGAATATCAGTCTGCAAAATTGAAACCATAGCATTTTAACCAGATTACTTTCAATTCCAAAAAATTTGGCGCATTTCATTTTGATGGACATAAATTTCCAGTACACGTTAAACTTTAAAGTTTAATCATAAACTTACAAACAATGTGAACAACTAAAATTTACTTTTAAACATTTCCCATAGAAATACATGGCCAAAGGTAAAATGTTCATTTGGTGAAACATGCGTCCAATGTTGTAGTATGTTTCCTGATTATCACCGCGCAGTTGCTGATAACGATTCATGAATGCTAGGCCCTTTAAAGATCACAGAAACGTATTTCATTTTTTTGGTAATTCTTTATATTAGATTTCGAAAAGTAAATCACTCTGCCTTATATTTTTTTTTCATTAACTTGAACAGAGATATGAAATATAATTTAAATCATTTTGACTTCCACAGAACGAAGTACCCTTACTAAAGTATTTTACTTTCAGCAGTCTTCTTTAATCAATAAAAGGAAGTTGATAAATAAGTAGTCTGATTTTTCAACCAGATAAACGACAAAACTAAACGGCATGTTGAGCGAGTAAGATAACTTACTCTAAGCGCTATCATATGACGACTGAATATATCTTTCTTGCAGGACATATGTACAAATGTAAGGCCAATAAGCATGCAAACAAGTGGATTATCTGGAACTTGTTTCCAAACATGCAGATATTCACCTGTAATCAGTTTCTTTGTTCTTATACTGCCTTGAAAATTTTACAATAAAACTCATTTCTAGTATCTCACCTCATTTGTTCTCTGTTTTTTTCCTAGACGAAAGTTCGAAGTCACTATTCAAAAGAATTTCCCTTCCCAAAAAAATCATTACTCACCAAGAGCATGACGATATGCACCAGTAATCAAGGAGTTATTTCCAGAAATCATTTGAAGCGCTAAATTGCCCTGAGCTCGTGCCAGTGCTCTCATTATATATCGATGATAACTAACATTTTGAGAATGACAGAAAACAAAATTCATTGCATTGAAAATACGGGTGAACAGCAAGTCACGATCCGACGGCAATAAAAGAGGGTGATTGTTCTACAAGAAATAGTATGATTTCAGAAATGTTAAAGGAATGTTAAAACGAAATAGCCTAAAGTGAGTTTGGACTAATCTTTGCGTTCGAATTTCTATAACTAGTTCGAATCTTCCTCAAGAATTACAGAAAACTTCGCCAAGCAGTTAAATTATCATTAACATCGCTTTTCCAGTAGCAGGACAGTTCTGATAACAGTGTTTACAATAAAAAATCTCTATCAGACCAGAATGTTCGATTTATGGCCAACCTAAAATAATTAAATCAAATTCTAGCAATACTACATATCTATTAATATCTTCTAACAACATTACATATCTATTTTATTATTTTAATAACTTATAAATTACGGAAACTATCTAACTACAGAAAGCGTGTGGAACCATCGCAGATATTCGAATGCCAGTGGCCAAACATGTGCCCGTATTGAACAGTACAATAAAAGATTCTGGAATGTTTCCATAGTCCTAAAACATGAAGCGATATAAAAATGAGTTAAAATTTCATAAATGGTATAATGTATAATTAATAATCAGCAAACTTAGTATTTAATCTACTGCTATTCCAAATGCTCCTTTTAGAGAACGCTTACTTAATATTTTTGCTGATGAGTGGTTGTAAGTAAGCAAAGCAGCAGACATGCAATGCATCCAAGCACCTTTTTTGCTGAAGCAGCGTTTCCAATAATTTGAAGCAGTAATCATGCAGCTGAAAATGAAATATATTTCGATAGAAAATAATCTTTGACTTGAAATAGATAGTGGATTCATAATGCACAATAGAATTCCCTCTGCTAATCTGGAATAGGGATCCATGTTAAATAGAAGTCATGTTAGATGACTTGAAAATTGGTATTTATAAAGGATAATTAGGACACGCATTCCCGAAATCGCTAAATTGAAAAAATGGATAACATATAATGTTAAACGATTATAAGATCATTTCTTCACTCCACGGAAAAAAAGATGAACATAGCGCAATAAAGAAGATAAGAAATAAAAGTTATAGAGAAAATAAACTAACTACTTAATAATTGATCAATTGATGGAATATTTCATGTAATTTCAATTCAAAGATGAAAAGAAGGGAATCAGAATTATTTTGCTCATTACAAGCATTTTTTTTTCGCCAATCAGTTATGTATCCGCGATATTCCCAAGAAATTTTGAATTTGATATCGAAGAGAAAAACAGAATTTACCTGTGTACCTGTAATCTCGCTCGGCGTTCGCTCTTCCGCTGCTGCAAATTGTCCTACGCGTTTCACATATTTTTCGAATGCTGAACTACGCACTGCGTTGAATGCCTGCACACGAATACCATGGCAAACAGCTAGAATTATTATTTATGATTGCTCAAAGCCCAATGTTGAATGAAATATGAAATATGAATGAAATAATTTTTTCTGAGCACAATATTTTTAATATTTATCTAAGAACTATTAAATTTGCTTTAATAAAAAGTAGTTCTCACGAAAGCACATATGGTATGGCAGAAATACAGAAAATAAAGAAAATTACCTCCCCGTTCGCCCGCTGGTAATCTTTTCTTCAACAATGCCATATTGTTCAAGTAAATTTCGTAAAAATGAGGAGCAAGCAACATTCGAACGCAACGGGCAAATTCATCCATTCGTTTGCGCTCAAATAAAAAGTCTGCTTGACGTACCAATAATCTTTCATCCTGTAAATTGAAAACAAACCAATCAGCATACTTTAGCAGTGGAAAAAGATGACTTCCATCCGAAAAATATTAAAACAACTCTTGAAAAATCAAAATATCGAAATTAATTTAAAACTGAAATTACTTAGAATCATAAAACCCAAAGCAAATCTAAAATAATTTCAAATTTGTAACCAAAATGATAAAGAAATTTTAAAAGCATCGTTAAGGTTCACATGCGGATAAACAAGTGCTATGATGAAAAGAAACTCAAGCAAAAAATATATATATACACAATAAATACTTGCCGGTAAACTACTTCCAGCATCCAATACATATTCACGCAAGGTTTCAAACGCTTCATCAACCATACCCAGTCGTTGCTGAATTGTCGAATAATTGATACGTGCGTCAACATGTGACGGTTGCAAATCCAGTGCATGTTGATAAGCTTTACATGCTTCTTCATATTTTTTACGAATCTAGAAATTATTTACTCATCTGCAATAAAAAAGCAAGTGAACCTATATAAATGAATAAAACCTATATAAAATTGGATATAAAAAACCAAGTTTTGGTTTTTTAGTTCAGAACTGCAAATTGGATGATGAAAAAACATACGGAAAGAAAGAGACCGTAAAGGTACCACGCTTCAGCAACATCTAGAAAATGTTGACGGGCCAACAAATGTTCCATATATTTTTGGGCGTGTGCTACACAGTCGACAGCATGGTAAGCACGTGCTATATCCAAATAGACTTGTTGGTCTTGCGGGAAAATAACCCTTTCGAAAAGCTTATCTACTAGTGTCTGCAAATACCTACATGTTATATAACCACACATTTGTTTTAACAATTTCTCTGCAAAAATTGTAACTGCTATAAACTACAAGATTTACAAACTTCCAGAACAGAGCAGAGAGCGATTAAGATTCTCAGAGTCTATAAGAAATAAACTTGAGCAATGACTAGCATAAATTTCATACTTCAACGAAACTTTTCCTCGACGCTAACTACTTGATCTGACATCTTAATTTAAAAATGAACATTTCAGTAAATGCATATTACATCATTGAATAAATCTGAAATAAAACCTGACGTCATAGTTAAATCATTCCCTACAAATAACGGTCCATCCGGATGGCTGTTTGGAATATAATCCAGTCAATATTGTAAATTCTTGACAT